TGTTGATAGTTGATCCAAGAAGAATGAAGTCCTTGACAACTTCAATCCTTTCTCCATTGATAAGAATGTTGTTTATTGGTCCAGTGGTGAGGATTTAAATGGTAGACACCTAAATTGTCTTCTAACTCTAAGATTCTATAAGTTCCCTGAGTAGATGGTAACTAAATCTGGATCTTCAATACAGATTAAACATTTTTATATATTCCTCATTCTCCAGCTATATTGCTCTTAATTGAACACAATCATATTACCTTTTATGTCCTCTGCACTGTGATGTACTGAAAACCAGCTACTCCTTCCCTCTCAGGCCATAATTTTCCTAATTAGAAAAATTCTGACACTCTTACTGGCTCTCAAGATACTATACGTATAATTTAATTGCAGCACTTAGTGTTATTTTTTTTTTTCATATGTATATATTTGCTCAAGGAGCTCTGGTAGCGTAGTGGTTACGAATTGGGCTGTGAACTGTAAGTTCAGCAGTTCGAAACTATCAGCTGTTCCACAGAAGAAAGATGAGGCTTTCTGCTCCGGTAAAGATTTACAGCCTCAGAAACTCTGTACAGGGTCACTATAAGTCGGAACCGACTCCACGGCACATAACAACAACAACAACATACTTGCTCAGCTCCTGAACATATTCCTCAAAGATGGGAACTTAATTTTAGCAGTCCAATCTCTGGAGAAGGATATCATGTTTGGTAAGATGGAGGGTCAGAGAAAAAAAGGAAGACCCTCAGTGAGATGGATTGGCAAAGTGGCCGCATCAATGGACTCAAGCATGGTAACAATAGTGAGGTTGGCCCAGGACCGGGCAATGTCTCATTCTGCTGTGCATAAGGTCGCTATGAGTTGGTACTGACTCGATGGTACCTAACAACAACAACAACAAGCTTTGAGTCAAGGAGCTCTGGTAGCGCATAGTGGTTAGGAATCAGGCTGCTAATCTCAAGCTCAGTAGTTCAAAACTACCAGTTGTTCCATGGTAGAAAGATGAGGCTTTCTGCTCCTGTGAAGATTTATAGCCTCAGAAACCCTCCAGAGGGTCACTATGGGTCATAACCGACTCCACGGCATACCACCACTACCATCTTTGAGTTGGAGTCCTGGTGTGGCGATGTGGCATAATGCACTAGACTGAAAGGTCCATTTGAACCACAAGCTGGGCAGTTCAAACTCACCAGCCACTCCTCAGAAACCCTATACAGGGTCACTATGAGTTGGAGTCAACTCCAAGGGACTTGACAACAACAACAACCTTTGAGTTGGAACTGACTCGAACGAAGTGACTAAAACAAGAACAAGAACCCAGTTGAATTCTTGGCCTGCTGCTGTAGGATCACCACTTGACTGCTAACCACAAGGTTTGTGGTTCAAACCCACCAGCTGCTCCTTGGAAACTCTGTACAGGGTTGTTATGAGTTAGAACTGACTAAAGGGCAGTTAACAATAACAAGAGCCCAGTTACATTCCTACAATA